ACTAAAAATATTGTGCTGTTTTTTTACTGCTTTTGAATGGTGAAAGTCTGCGCTGCATAAATGCTGCCACCATAATTAACATCTACTGATAAAGTAATCAAACCGGTGCAGGAGAATACAAAACCGGTAGCTTTTACCCTTGATACTACTGATCCGTAATTTCCGGCAAACTGGTCGGCCACGGTGGCGGCGCCTGAAGCTGCATCTACTTTAACAATCCATGGCTGCCTGTTAACGCCGCCTGCTGCAGGCGAAGGATAAGCCAGGAATTGTACTGAATTAGCATCAGGACCTGCAGATACTGAGATCAAATCACCTACCGAAAAATCCTGCCAGTCGTTATCATATACCACTTTGTAAGTTCCTACAGAACTGGCCTGGCTAAAAGCACAAACTGCAGTAGCCTTCCAGCTTAATGCAATATTGTATGCAGGAAACGAAGTATAATTGGTAGGTGTATTGGCAGCAGAATACTTCTTGCCATCTGCAGTTACTACTTCGTTTTGTAACACATACTGTGTACCTGGTTTAATGGTAGCCGGCGCAAGTGCCGTAGCCAGCTGGGCGGTGGTTACTACCAGTTCTACGCCCTCGGTAAACGGAACGTTTTTAATCAGTTTCCAGGTTTTTGAATCAAGTGCCGCACCCGTTGCCACGTATACGTTTACTGAAGCCACCGGAGAACCCTTGCTGCCTACCTGAATGGATACAGTTGCTGCGGGTTTACTGAAATCAAGATTGGTGTTTACGGTTTTTGTCAACGTAAGGTAAGAGCCTAAAACCAGGTCTTTGTTGTCTCCGTTGATAGGGCTTTTTTTACATGAGTAGAAGCCCGTGAGCAGCAGCGCAATACCCAAAAAAGCAATTATATTTTTTCTCATTGTTTTGTTTTTTAATGTATGAAATCTTTTGGATTGGTATCCCAGAACACCTGTACAGAAGTAACCGTTTTCTGCACTGCATTTTTGTTGAAATTAACATATACAGAAGGGTAGAAAAATGAACGGATAAAGTCACCTTCGTTGGGCAACAGTGTGCGCTGCATGTTGGCTACCTTGCCTGTTCTGCGATAATTGTTGTAAGATTCCAGTCCATTACCCCAGGCTGCCAGCCAGTATTCTCTCATAATAACATTCAGCTTGTCGTCGTTGGTAGCGGCGGCATTGTACAGCGATTGTATTTTATTGTTGTACACCTGTGTTTTGTAAGTTGTAATCAACTTATTGGTATCTGTAGTGGGTAGTGTATAACCGATAGAGGCAGCAAAACCTCTAACCTTATTGAAAGATTCTGTTACACCTGATTGGGTTAAAGTCAGTGGGTCACCTGCAGTGCCCAGCATCAGCGCAGCTTCAGCTTTCAGGAAATAGGTGTAAGACGACAGCCATACAGGCGCTATACCAGCTCCTTTGGCACCAACCGACCTGGTAGCGCTTTGTCCAACAGCCTTGTTCTGATCTGCGTCAAATTCGCCACCGGCAGGGTAAACCCCCCAGGTGCTTCTCAGGCCATTATCCGGTCCGATGCCTTCATTGTTTCCATGATCCCTGCCAAGGTAACCGCTGCCCACAATGCAATAACAGGCGCCTGCAGGATAAGGAGAAGTACGGTAAAGGCAGGGAATAGCAAACTGCCTGGTAGTCTGGTCGGGTACGCGTGAATCATTGTTTACATCCAGTATCTGGCGGTAAACGTAGTAACGAAGCCTTGGATCAACCAGGCCTTTTTCCTGGTACAGTGCCCACATAAATTGTGTGCCTATATAGTCACCTGCGCCATTATCAGTTCCGTAGTTGCCTACATAGTGTGGGTGACGGCTGTCCGGCGACTGGTTTTTGGTAGAGTAGCTGAAAACAAAATCCTGTGCTGCTGTATTGATCAAATCATTTTCCGTAAGCAGTGCGCTTATTTTAGCCGTTACATTGGCCTGGTCTACCAGGCGGGTTTGTATATAAGCTTTCAGTTTAAGCGTTTTTGCCAGTGTTGTCCATTTGGCCTTGCTGCCTGCATAGTAAAGATCATTGGAAGGGGCGGCAGACGATGTTTTGGCAAAATCTGCAATACCTGCGTCCAGTAAAGCCAGCGCTGAATCATATACTGCACGGCCCTTATCTACTTTAGGATTGGTATTAGCAACACCCAGGTTGGCTTCGCTGTAAGGCACATCGCCAAACAGATCCACCAGTGTAATCATGGTATATGCTTTCAGCACTTTTGCAATACCGGAATGAACATATTGTCCTTTTGAGGTGGCAACAGGAATCATGGTATTGGCGGTTTTGAAAATACCCAGGTAGGCATTGTTCCATAAACCATCATAGCTGCCCGAAGAATAGGCGTTGAAATACGTAGGACCGTACATGATTTCCTGGCGAACCAGCGGATCTGAAAGATCAGAAGCGGTTTGGTAAAAACCGTTGAAATTAAGTTCGAGGTTTCCTAGATAAAGGTCCACGTCGGCAGCGTCGGGGCTGGCGGCGTTGGGATTGGTCAGCTGGGCGTCCAGGTTTTCATTGAGCTTTTTGCAGGAGCCCAGTGCTACCAGCGCTGCTATTAGTATTATAATTTGTTTCATTTTCATAATTCATTTTTTTGTTTTGTTAGAACGTTAATCTCAGGCTGGCTCCAATACGGCGTGAAGAAGGGCCGGCAAATAAATCCAGTCCACGTGCATTGCCTACACCAAGGCTGTTGCTTTCCGGGTCAAACCTTGTGTACTTTGGAAAATTAGGAGCGGAGTACCAGAGATTATTACCTGAAACGCTTAAAGAAGCAGAGCCAAAAGGCAGTTTCTTCAGCAGTTTCTGCGGTATTGAATAAGAAACGGACAATTCGCGCAGCCTGATAACAGTAGCATCCCAAACAGTGACAGAAGCAGGGCCAAAGCCATAGGCGTTGAAATAGATATTGTCAACACTCTGCTGTATATCATTGGGTGTTCCGTCCTGTTTCACAGTATTGGGAATAATGAAAGGCAGGGTTCTGTCGAAATCTGTATCTTTTGTAGTACCACGCGATAGCATGGTTCTTACAGTATTGGAAAACATCTGACCGCCCTGGCTGTAATCCCACTGCATGCGGAAAGAGAATGATTTATAACTCAGGGTGCTGATACCGGTTACCCTGTAATTGGGGTTGGGGTCGGCAATAATGCCGATATCTGAAGAGCCCAGGAAATAGCCGTTGGCATCAACAATTTTCTGACCTGTTTTAGGGTCTGTTTGTACATAACTTCCCTGCAATACACCCAGGGGTTGGCCATTAATGGCAAAAGTTCCAAGGTTGCTGTAACCTCCTGTTTGAATTGATTTGATATCATCCGGCATGTCATGCACCTTGCTTTTGTTGATGGTATACACACCATCCAGCTGCCATTTCCAGTCTTTGCTGCTCACTACGGTATAACCCAGGGCAATTTCAATACCCTTATTGTCTACTGCACCTGCATTAATAGCGGTGATATTGTAGCCGGTAGAAGCGTCCAGCTGCCTGTCAAGAATCTGGTTGCTGGCAGTACGGAAATAACCGGTGATATCAGCAGTCAACCTCCTGTTAAAGAAGCTACCCTCTATACCTGCTTCTGTTTCTTTCAGCAACTCTGGTTTTAATCCGGGGTTGGGTACGCGGTTGGGAACAGCTGCAATATTTACAATATTACCATTCTTATCAACAAACGCGTTTGTTGCCAAACTTAAAGAAGGGCGGGTATTGTAGGGGTCAGGAAAATGTGCACTGGTAGAATAACCTAAACGCAGTTTCAGGTAATTGATGGTATTGCTGTTCTTTAAAGCAGCGAAAGCCGCTGTTGGAATAAACGAAGCACTTACTCCGGGATAGAACAACTGGCGGTTATCTTTCTCAAGCGTAGAAACATAATCGTTACGTCCGTTCAGGGTTACAAAAGCAAACTCCTTATAGCCAATATTGGCAGACGCATAGATACCAGCACGGGTTTTCTGCACTTTGTAATCCAGGTCAGCACCGCCTTCGCTGTAAATATCATGCGTAATAAAATTGCTGTGATCAAAAAGACCATATACAATCTGCTGTGTGCTTTTTAAACCGGTTTGCTTGTAATTGTCCTGGCGCAAATCACCACCTGCATCCACACTAAGAGTGAAATTTTCACCCAAATTTGTGTTGTAGTTTACAATCAGTGTGTGGTTTAAAATCTGGTTGAACAGACTGCTGCTGCGGTAAAGGCCGTTTACATAGCTGGCACCACCGCTTTTACCACCTTTATTGATGCTGAGCGATTGCAGTTCGTTATAAATATCAAGACCAAAACGGTAACTCACATTCAGCCCTTTCATGATATCATATTTCAAACCGAAAGTGCCGTAGCTGCGGTAGGTAACGTCTTTTGAAATGGC